ATCCACCAAGACTGATCAATGCGACATTGAGACTTAGTTAGCATCCGGATATTTCCTTTACTGGGGGAGTTCTGTATAAAAGAAGTTGGAATGGGCCTTGCACCTAAGTCGTTGCATGAGGGAAGCTTCAAAAACCATTATGGGATTCCCTTTTAACATAACGGGGAGTCGCGTCCACACATGCACGGGATAACCTTAGGGCTCGGAAAATCGTGAACCTTGGATTATTACTGGTCAACCATGAATGCCACACTGCGTAGGCACGCGCAACAAGTGCCATGAGTGGTCAATTTTTGCTAAGTGCAAAGACAGCCTCTGGTCAATTTGATTATCCTATTGATTCACCATGCGCCTTTACAACTTGGGCATAGATTGGATCGGAAAAATCCACCCAAAGGCTTTTCCAATGGTCAATTCAATTCAATCCTGGTTGCTGTTAGATTATTTCACTAGTGCGATCGAGGTAGCCTCTTATTCGGTTTTTGAATGCCTAGAGGCAGCACAGTTCGTTCGTACTAACATTCCTTTGTCGCGTATGGAACGCCATTTAATCATCACTGATAATGGGTTCCCACTTTTCAAAGTCAATTTTTTCTTGATTGTGAAAGAAAGAGAATCCAACATTCACAAGTTTCCTCACCCTATCGTCACAAAACAAATGGGGCTAGAGGCTGCAAATAATTGGCTATAAAAGTCATTTTGCAGGAAAGACAGTTAAAAAGCAACAAAGCTTGGCAATGAACAGTTTACGAACCTTTATGGGGATATAGGACTTCAATCAGAACGCACCGGAGCAACTCCGTATTCCTGTAGTGTCATTGGTATGGAAGCAGGTTGCCTATTGTGAGCTGGAAGTTCAGTCGGCGAGGCATTGCCGGGAAAGCCAGATCAGCGAAGCAGATTTGGGCTAAGAATTATCCATTGCAAAACTCTGTGGTATTGAAACGAAAAACGAATTTGCAAGCGATCACCAAACGCAAAGTTTACCAGAGAAGAATTGCACCGGGATTTTAATAAGAAGGTTCAAAGCTGAAAAACTAGAGAAGGTTGTTTGGTCCTAAGAAAATTAGACAGCCCAATCATAGACCCGCGTGGAGAGTTTCGTCCTCATTAGCTGGACCCTATTGTAAGAAAATATAGTCTGGCGGAGCCCCCCCGTCATTTTTGACTGATTGGATTTGTAATTTTCACGGAATCCCATGTAATTTAGATCAGTTAAAAAAATATTTTGTATAATAAGCATTTGCATAATGTAAAAAGAGCTACATTTAGACCTTGAAAAGAGCTACATTAGACTTGATTCTCCTCGAAAAAAAAAGAAATTATATATCGGAGATATGTAGGCAGCCCTCATTGGGCGCGGTCTAAACATTAATAAAAACATCGTTTCATAATTCTTTCCTCTTTGCCTATGATAAAAAAAAAGAAGGAAGAAAAGAAAAGAAAAAAAGAAAAGAGAGAGAAAAAAAGAGAAAACCCGCTAAGTTGAAAACCCGAAAGGGCGGCTTAGGCAAAAGTTGGGGCCCGTTAAGTCGAAAACCCGAAAAGGGCAGCTTAGGCAAAAATGGGTAGCTCGCTAAGTCGAAAACCCGAAAAGGGCAGCTTAGGCAAAAATAGCTTGAATAATAAAGTTGGAAAAATGCTTGGAAAGCTTAAAAGTTCAAAGACATTCCCATTCCCAATTAAAGCAATAAAGTCAAACAGCCCGAAGTCAAGCAGAAAGCAAAAGAGTCCAAAGAAAATAAATAAATAATGAAGTCTCAGTCCAAAAAGTAAAAACAAAACATACATCCTAAATCCAAAGTCCAAGTCCTAAATAAAAAGTCAAAATAAAGGAAAGACAACAAAAGTCCTAAAGCCTATAGGTGTCTAGGTGTCTCGTCGCCTCCGTGGGGCAACATCCTCCGAGTCATCCCTAGCTGCTAAACTCTCTCCAACCTCGCCTATCCGGGGAGACAACACAATCTCCTCATGAGTCCTAACCTCATCATCAGCGTCAGCCTGAACCCAACCAGTGTACTCAGCAATGCGGTCCTCCTTGGCCTCTCAATCGGCCAAAACAACGACAATGGAACCAGTCGATTACTCAGGAGAAGTCTACACCGCAGGATTAGGTAAAGGGCCTAAACCATGTGAGGTTCTTAACCCAAGCCCTAAGGTACGGCTCGGGCAACACCCGGAGTGATGGACTAAAATCAAAGGGATGGAAGTGCCATCTAACAATTGGGACAGTCTGGTTCGTATCCCCATTCTGCCTCCAAAACGCGCCAAGGCGCCAGTGCCAAGTACAGTGTATAGGCCTAAAAGGCTAAAACCCGTACCCCGAGTTATGCGGGAGGCCTAAACCGGGAGCTAACCTGGATAAAGCAGGTGATGTCATACCAGGAAATAGACCGTACCTCCTCATATTGATCTTTTCTACCTTGGAGAGACTCTTAGTCTAATGGTGCATGATGTGGTTATAAAAGGGATTCATTTTTGAAAAAAAGCGAGATAAAAAAAAGGGGCCCGTTTTCTTTCAAAATGGATAATCATGCATACATATTTGCAGTACTAAAAAGTTCAGTACAGAAATACAGACAATAAAAAAAAAAAAGGAAAAATCTAGCAACCATGGCATCAACGACGGGGCCTCCTCCCCCTCTGATCATCAAAGGCCCAAAAATACCGCAATTTGGCCACAGAGGCCCAAAAATTCACATTTTGGCCCCTAAGGCCCAAAAATTCGCAATTTGGCCCCGAAGGCCCAAAAATTCCCCAATTTGGCCCCAAAGGCCCAAAAGTTCACATTTTGGCCCACCAATTTTGGCCCTAAGCCAAAAAAAAAAATCGAAGAAAATGAAAAACAATAAGGAAAAATAGCAGAAAAGGCGGGTCGTCTTGACGCGTCCGATTTTTTTTCGCCTTCAAAATTTGTTTTTCAGGACAACCACCGACGCCCATAAATCATTTTTATTGGTTGCCAGTGCGAGGGCAACTATTGAATACTCAAATTTTGGGTGCTCAAAAAGCCTGTTTTCCCGAATTGCAAACAGTTCTGTCGGACCGGAGGCATTCGAAAAAGTTCACCGAAAGTATGGCAATATGTGACTGAAACGTATGGTACTTGAAACGTCCGGAAAATTACGAGGATCGCAGAACTGGTCCCGGAATATTTTTTGGAGGTACGGAACTCCCGAAAAAGCCTTCAGAACAAAAAACTAGAAAGTGGACAAGCCACGGCGGCGGCCACAGCGGGGGCGCCCGCCCTTCACAGCGGCGGAGGCCGTCGGAACCGGAGGCGGAGGCCGCCGGCAAGGGCAGCTGCGGCCGCCGGCCAGGGCGGCTGAGGCCGCCGTCCATGGCAGCATCTACCGCCCTAAGCGGTGGCAACGGCCGCCCTCCACGGCGGTAGCTGCCGCCCTCCAGAGGCGACAGGCGGACCGCCCTAGCGCGGCATGAAGCGCCGTCCAGCCCGGATCCCCAAAATACAGGCCCCGGTGTGACTTTTTACACTCACTCGTCTGTGTTGACGGACGCTCTCTTCTCCCTACGCTCCTTGCGATCTTTTAACTGGCTTTTTCTGCATTTAGTGTAGGCTTTATTATTCTGCTTGTTGTGATACTTGGTCACTAATTGAATTAATTTTAATTAATATTCTCCCAAACGAGGAGCCTTTAATCAGAGTCAACTGAAGCTAAGAAAGCGGCGCCCGCATCTTAGAACTCACGAATACAAACTCTGCCTGTTGTAATTTTCAGCATTAATTGGCATTAATTTCTCCTACTCCCGCATTTCTGAAATTAAACTGCTGTATATAAAATGCATTCACGTTCATCTTGATTTTGGCTCATAAACCCCCCATATTAATCATGATTAGGCGTTAAATGCTCGGTTAATCTTAATAATCGTGGTGTTAAGCCTAAATCGACTAAAAGGACAAATGACTATGTCAATAGATTGACTTAATGGTATAATTGCCTTTATTTCCGAACCAGTTCGGCTTTAAGTCCAACAATCATAATAATCTTAAAAGCCTTAATCAATCACGTTTTGGCACAAAATTGCCTTCAGTTTAATCAATCACATTTTGGCAACAAGTTGCCTAAATTAACACAAATTTTTGCAAAATGCCTTGGAATTTAAAATCAATTCTTTTGGCTAAAAAGCCTTAAATCAATCATTTTGGCGGACAATGCGCCCAATTCAACACTTGTGCAAACAAATATTGCCGTGTAAATCCACATCAATACTTTTTGGCCATAAACAAATGTGCACTAAATCAATCTTTTTGGCTAAAAAGCTTAAATCGAACACATTTTGGCAACCAGAATAATGCCTAAAAACAACAATCATCAAACTTTGCAAAATGCCTAAATAAAATGCACGAAGCATACACCCACAACTTCATGCACATTAAGCATACCCATTCAAGGCCTCTTTAAAAAAGGCCTATCGACTACGTCGACTTTTAATCTTTCCATTTCAACGGAAGTACGTAGGCACTTCGGGATTTTTAACCAAGCGGCCAAGTCGAAATCATCCGAAATCACTTAAAACATATCATTGTCCAATTACATTATTTACCCTGCAAAGCATTAATTCATGGTTAGTTAATCAGCATGACATAGTCGTCGCGGATCCACCTCGGGTTCGTAGATTGTGGCCTTAAACATTGGCGATAATTATCTTATGTAATTAAGCGTTAATTAAAATGGGAGTCAACTTAGGGTTTTCCATAGTTTCTTGACCCTCTTAATAAATTAATAGGTGTTAACACATGGTGGCGGACTTCTACACATTCACGTGCCATTTCTGCCCTTTTAAAATAATTAAACAAGGTGGCGACTCACACATTCACGTGCATTTCTGCCCTTAGTCATATTTATTATATGCCTATTTTCGGGGGAGGGGTTCACACATATACATTGCGAAATACCTGAAAATTAGAAAATCTATATATAAATGTAGTATTAATAAGTAAAAAAACACTAGAAAGGTCCAAAATCAAATCTATGGATCTATGACCAAGAGGTGTCTATATGAGGAGCTGTAGTGATGGCTCTAGGCTCTATAGGGACGGGAGTAGGCACTGGAATGCTGGTAGGTGATGGCAAAATCATGAGAGATGCACGAGAAGTAGGATCTACTGCAACTACATCTGATGGTGCTGGTGGATCCATTGAATGAGGATGTACAAAAGAAGAAACTGAAGGTGTATCGGACATCTGCATCACACGCTCTCTAAGCTATGACAGCAGCCTCTCCTGTTCGTCAAGCCGAGTCTATAGCATACGAACCTCCTCGGGACTAGTAGAGTCTAGCTGTGTTAGTGTGGAAGCACTTGTAGATGCAAAGCCTGATTGTGCATAGTAATGAGGTGCTTGTGACCCGATGTCGTACGCCTTCCTCTTCTTCTCGCCACCCACGGCCTCCCAATATAATTGCAGCTCATCAACAATCGGCTGTTCTCCACCCTCAGGCTGTGAAGACAGTACACGGTCTCAAGCTGTGCTGTAATTGTCCTAAAAACGATAATTTGACTATTACATAAGATGAAATTTGGAAACATAATTTAAATGCAAAAATAAAATAACATACTAGGAATGAAATTGAAATATGTCTTATACTTACATTAAAGATACTCGAACAAATGTAACATTTTTATGGTCCTTCATGTGGGTGTACTTGAAGACCTTAATCGTTGTAGGCTCCCGACCTAACCGTAATGCCTATACTATAATGCATTTTCACTATAATTAATATTTACATCAGTAATCTATAAATAATATAGTTTTATGAGTTTATTTTCTTACCAGCCACCTAGTGACCTCTGCCGCAGATATGGAGCCACTAGTGTGTCTAGAAGGACCTGCTCCTGGACCACCAGTCTCACTCTGCCTATTCTGCATAGATCTCACACTTCCTCACAAAATCAGGCTGCCTCTAAGCCTCTTACCAAGCGTCCTATATCTCCTCAGTAAGACACTACTACTTCTTCCCGCTCCTCTGCATCCTATATATGAAGACAGAATATCAGTTTGCGCACTATTTCTCTCAAGCCACCCTCATTATGGCTATAATAGCCTCCTCCCATACGAATAAATTCAACAAAAGGAAACAACATTGCAAAATACATTTTCATTTCGATAGTTTATTCTATATGTATATTTTCTTCAAATAGTTTGTTTAGAATTACTACATGCCTGAAATTCATCCCAATAGAAATCCTTTGCCTTTTGCGGTGCTATCTACTACGTGTAGCCCTCCTTATCCAGGCACAATTTGAAGATGCTTGTAAAAGTCTTTGATGCTTTAGAAGATGGATGGATGCAATAAAGTACCAATCAAAACATAAGAAAAAATCAATTTCATAAATGAATTCATTTGTCGAAAACAAAAAGTGAATCATAGTTACTATCCTACCACCAGCTTAAGAGCCTTACGTGGATCTATGGAAGAAGTTGATTTTGAAAAGAAAAAATATACAACATTTTCAATCATAATTTCATATATGAGAAACAAACATTTTATAAATAATATTATACACAATTAATTACTTGGGGTAGAAGGGGATGGTGCAACCATCAAAGAATCTGCAAGTCGAACCAATGGTGCGGAAGAAGAAGGGACCGAAGGTGATGAACGTAAAGGGGGTCGAATGGAAGACGATGGAGGCGTAGGTGTACTGGAAGAGGGAGATGTAGAGAAGGGAGAGGAGTCCCTCATCCCCGTCCTCGACCCCGACCTCCACGACATCCCTGATCGGGCACGTTTGAAGATGTCCCCTCTCCTCTAGTCATCCATAGTATGAATATGAATTATATAAAATTAATGACAATATATATAATATGAATTATATTAAAATTAATGACAAATATATAGATATAATATGTTATATATTATATATATATATATATATTATATATATATACTATATATAGTATATAGTGATTTATATTATATATAGGATTTATATTAACTTATTATTCAATAAGAAAACGAGATTAATGTTTATTTATTATAATAATATTATTACAAAAACATATTTGCACACATATTTAATTATCTCTGTCTTCTTCATATCCATCGTCTTCATCCATTTCTTCTTGTTGTTCTACATCTTCATCTTCTAAAGTACCTAAGAGTATACGTTGTTCATCATCTTCTTCATCCGTTGAACCTATGTTAACATATGCCCCATTTTCATCATCAAGTCTCTCTATTAAATCTTTGAGCATATGCACATGTTGCGTATCAATATCATCTTCTTGAAATGGCTCAGATGTTGAGGCTAAAGCAACATGCTTTATTTGAATTTCTTGTACAACTACTCTAGCTTTGATTTTGCAAACTGCCATCCAATCAACTCGATCTCATTTTAACTATGGATATGGGACATAGTACACCTGTATAGCTTGCATCGCCAGCATGAAAGGTTCGTACTTCATGTATCTTCTTTTATAATTAATATCTACAAGATTATATTTGGATGAATTTTCATACCGAAGTTGGGCGTGGGATCAAACCATTCATAGTTGAATAAGACTGTGCGTTTTGTTGGTAAGGCTGGATATTCTAAACTCCAAAACCTTAATCAATTTCCTGTAAAAATCATTACATTCATCACTGTAATTTGACCCCTTTATGCAAACCCCACTATTCATCGTTTTTCTGCTTGTCCCATAACCTTCAGTGTGAAACTTGTAACCGTTCACAAAGTAGCCAAAATATACATTTGCTATAGGAAGAGGTCCTCTTGCTAGATAGACAGTGAATTTGTTACCAATGTTAATAGCATAGTTTCTGGCCTGTTTCCAAAATCACAGTGTCGAATATGAGAAAATTTAATGAGAAAAAACCGTGTAATTTATGTTGCTTTAAAAAATGTAAGCTACTTCGAGAGGGAGAGCAACAAAGTTAAGACAAATGCTATCAACAAAGTATATTATTATTAATTTTCATTTTCTATCTATACATATATGTATTTTACAATTTGGAACAAAATTTTATACTGCAAAATTGTGTTGGTTAGTTGCCAGATACAACACAACTAATTATTGAAAATTGTGTTTTAAACAATTGCCGTGTTTTGAGAACATGACCGGTATAGTAAACCGGTGAAGATAGGAGTTCACTGAACCAAAAGGTTCAACCGGGTTCAATACGGTTTAACTAGATTTTTATATATAACATTTTTAAATATATTTATTAAATAAAATGAAAGTATAGGAAAAAACTTTGATATAAAATTAAAAAAAAACATTCTCAAATTTGGATTTTATAAAAAGCATTAAAAATTAGTAAATAATTTTCAACAAAAAGAATAAAATATGACTAAATTTAATACTATAAAAAATCAATTAATTACAATAAAATATAATATTAATTTTAACATTTGGGTTTAAAGTTGGGAAATTTAGTTGTTCTAATTAATATAATAGAACTTTGGATTTAGAAATAAACAGGTCCAAAACTAATAAATCAGTGGGCCCAATTTTTAAGAGGCTCAAATTTTAAAAAGGCCCACAATTTCAAAAAATTTTAACAGGTCCAGCTCAGAAATTTTTGGCCTATTTTCATCTAATTTTTATCGATTTAGGACGATTTTTAAAAGTGCCTGTTTTCTTATATAACTCGGACTGGACCACTATTCGGTTCCCAGTCGAACCGGTCGCTCTGGTCCAGTTTTCGGAACCATGCTATATATACTCAAGTTCCTTCTCTGCTTCTTCAATGCTTGACTACAATACCTCCGGTTATTTTAGAACATTTTGAAGTTGCAAATGTTTGATGTCTTTGCTTGTACTCTTTGGAGAAGTGGTTGAGTCTAGATATTTGAGAAACAATTTTAAAAAGAGTTGTGTAATAATAACAGGAAAACAACATACATTACTAGGAAACCAAAGATTCCATTTATATATATATATATATATATATTATATATATATATATAATATATATAGAGAGAGAGAGAGAGAGAGAGAGAGGAGAGAGAGAGAGAGAGAAGAGAGAGAGAGAGAGAGAGAGAGTGTGTGTGTGTGTGTGTTACATACTAAACACAATTTCTATTCCTTATTATAGAGCACATTAAGGAGTAATCACCCGCTATATGATCAAGAATACAATGTGTTGTTAGTTGAAAAGTTTGAAAACAGAAACCTCTAGAAGAATATCAAAGCCTGCTTATTGGAACCCATATTATAAAAAAATATAATCAAATAATAATGAAAAGGAAATGGGGAAAAGGAAAAAAAAAAAAAGCTAAAGAAACTAACCTCTACCATAAGGTGAATCACTTCATATTTGGTTGTTCAAATCTTATGGAGAAATTATTTAGAAAAATAATTTTTGTTGTTCATGATATAAGAATTTTTTTGGACATTTTCAATTGACCATTTAAATCTTTTATATATATACTATATATATATATATATATATATATATGTATATTATATCATATATTATATATACACACTGAAGCAGAAAATAGCTCAACGTGGTCTCTCTATTTAACATTCATATTTTTATTTTTTATTTTTGTAAATTTTTGAGTTTTCATTTTTTTTACGATTTAATTGGGAATAATATTTTTAAAAATCTCTTTATCTTTATAGAATTATCTACACTAACAAATTATTTATTTTTATTTTTTCTTTTTTAGCTAAAATTTAGCTATTAGATAAACATTTTTAAATTTTTTTAGTTTATTTATTTATATTATGATTGGACCACTTGACAACTCAGAAGCAATAATCACACAAAAGGTCAAGAATGTTCACCTTGAAAATTACATTAATTTTAGTTAAGACTACGGTAGAGAATAGAAAATTTCTCTATGAATAAAGAAGTCTTTATAATATATTGGATTTAAATGGTTTCTTCATATAAACCGTTGGATTTAATTCTAAACAGAATAATTGCTACTTATAAGCTAAGTTAATAATATATTAACAAATAACTATATAGTTATTTTTATTTAATTTATTATTGTTAAATATAGAATTACTTTTATGAAAAAAAAAAGTTTTCAATTCAATATTTTAAAAAAATATAAATTAAAAAGATTAATTTTCCTATCTAAAAAAATTATTTAATTCTTTTTTCTCTTTAATATCGTAAATAAGCTAAATATTGCTTCTAAAAAAAAAGCTAACTATAAAAAATAATCATAATACTATCACATTAAAAAGATATGATCTTAATTAACTACCCTGTAATTTAGACTCTTACTTAACATACTATTATGTACATGGACAATTTATTTTATGTATTTTTAATTTTTAATTTTATTTTTTAAATTCTCGTTCACTTCATTTCTAACATTAACATATTTCAAAAATTATAGAATGTGACTAAAATTATTAAAATATATTTCATCAAAAAAATTATTAAAATAAATAAATAGATAATTTGTAGAGAAAAAATGGAAAGAAAAATAATATATTTGTATGAGTTAAAAAATAACGTTTCTAAGAAAAAAAATAAATATATTTAGAAATCAAAATGTATAACATTGTTTTATATATATTTACTAAGAAGAAAGTTCTCATAAGACCAAATATATATATATATATATATATATATATAATATATATATATATATATATATATATATTGAAAGATAAAAAAAAAAAAGTCATATAAACGGGTTATATTTACTTTGCCTATAATAGGTAAATCATGTGCATTTAAGCATAACCTAGTGATATGTTGTACATAAAGTCATTGTTTTTAAAGTGTTTTTGTAATTAGCAAAGAATAAAAAAAAAAAAGTCATATACAACGGGTTATATTTACTTGCTATAATAGGTTATCATGTGCATGTTAAAGCATAACCTAGTGATATGTGTACATAAAGTCATTGTTTTAAGTGTTTTGTAACTAGCATTGTTTATTTTTCATATAAGTAATGAAGGGCAAACGACTCCACTCTTATAATAAGAATTTTTTTTTTTTTGTATTTGACTATTGTTTGATTGTCGAGAAATTAATTAGCCATTGGTTAAGATTTATTTTCTTAGTATTTGACTATTGTTTGATTGTTGAGAAATTAATTAGTCATTGGTTAAGCTTAGGAAGCATTTGTGCACATTTAATATTTGTGTTACATATTCATATTTTATTATTTGAAACACAAAATTATTCAAAAATTTTAATGTGTAATGTTTTTAATATTAATCTCATATATTACTTTATATTGTTTGAGATATTAGAGCTTGAGCGTTTCAAATTTAGGTAGCCGAGAGTGATAGCCTAGAGTGGTCATTTTTTTTAATGCTTCAAATTACTTGTATAATTATTTGTTTATATTTATTTAACATTTGCAATAATTTAATTATCTACGCACAGTTCATTTGAAATCAATATTTATAATTTTTTTTTTGGCATCATAAATTTAGGATCAATCGTTATTTGATATAACAGTTTTTCTAATGGGTGTAATCTTGCACTTGTTCACACTTATTAAATACATCCCATTATTATAGGGAACTACAGTTTTAAATAGAGCATATTAAATCTAATCCAACTCAAATTGCTATAGTTAAGCCTATAATAAATTAAAGTCTCCTACACTAATTAAACATTTTTCTTCTACACAACCCGCCAATCTCACTTTTTATTTTCTTTTTATTATCAACATCTAAAATTTTTAAGCTTTACTTAACAACCCTTAATTACCAATTCTTATTTATCGTCCAAAAAAAAATGAAAAATAGTTCCATTAGATTTTAATTTGTAAATTATTACAATTTTAA